GTGTGTGTTCACTAGTGTATATGTGGTGTTTCACTGCATGGCTGGGTTAAATGCCATATAATCATATATGTGACCCTTATCAGATCCTCAACGGGAAAATTTACCTCCGCATTTAACCGGTGGGTAGCCCTATCTGTGGCGCCCGGAGAGTAGTTGGGAGTTAGGTGCCTTGCTCAAGTTACATACTGTCAGCTTAGGGGATCGAACCGGCGACCTTCCGGTCACAGGGCTGGTCCCCTAAACTCCAGCCCATGACTATATTTGGGGTTAGTGTGCTTGTGCTTTTGATAATATAACATTGTTTTTACCTACAGGAAATGAAGGGTGGAAAGTCGAGTAAATTAAAACCTGACTGCCACAAATGATGTCACAAAAGGACACCTCTCAAATTGTATTTTATAGACAATACCTACAGACTTACATACAAACTAGTTCATATACACTCATCGTGCACTTTATTAGGAACACCTCTTTTTAGTACCTGCTCTGTGGTGGTCCTTTGGGGGTCCTGACCATGAAAGACAAAGGGGGCTAAAATGGTATGGAAAGAAACAGATGGACTGCAGTCTGTAAATGTAGAACTACGAAGTGCTCCTATATTGTAAGTGAAGCTAATAAAATGGACAATGAGGGTGGAAACAAGGAGGTGTTCCTTGGTGAGTGTATATACACATATATTAGCAACTGCATGATATTCCATAGGAACAGCCTGAGCAACCACCTGGGATAACATAGAAGTGGTCAAGTAACATGTTAGCCACCACCTGGGATACCATAGCAACCACTTGGGATAACATCGGAACACTTTAACAACCACCTGGGATGTCATAGCAACAGCTTTGCCAAACCCACAAAGTTTATTCATGAACTTCCTCCTTCTGGTTTTGATTGTAATGTTTATATATACAGATTATTTTATATAGGTTTGCTTATGTTTTCTGCTACAAGTGCTTTCTGTTGTTGTGTATGGTAAGTTACATTTTATGTGTTTTGAAATGTTAATTTTGCATTTTAATATACATTTTTTACCATCTCTGGTAAACATATATATATATATATATATATAATAATAATATATATATATATATAGAGATTTAGGAGAGAGTAAGAAACTAGAGACCCACAAGTACGAACATACAATATATATATATATATATATATATATATATATATATATATATATAAACATCATCATCATCTCCCCTTTATATTGTGTGAATATTTTATAACGAATGGATCAATAACAATAGTCCTACATGACATAGAATAAACTTTCTTTACATTAAAGTAAGAAGTTACCATGTCAAAGGTCTCTCACTCTCTCTCTCTCTCTCTCTCTCTGCATATTCAAACTGCTGATAACCTTGTATTTTCCATCCACTTCAAGAAAGTTTAGACATCACATATGCAAAACTCACATACAGCACATTTCTAATTATGCATGTGTTTGTGTTTGGTGCATTAGCATATCTTGCTGATTGCTCTACTTTTACTGTGATTTTATTCCAGTGAAAGAAGATCCTCTTACATGTGTATTGGGTGGATAATCTTTTGTCTGTCTGAATGGACATTAAGGTGGACCCCAGGTGTGGGTATGGATCAGTGTGAATAGGTGTGAATAGGTAACACTTTAGTGACGTCTCACCTTCGTATGTGTGGGTCTCTAGTTTCTTACTCTCTCCTGAATCTCATGTGTCCTGCCCTTTGTATTCTGACCTTTCCTTGATCTTCAGGCTCAAGTCGCGCATTCATCGTCTTAATCATCAACGTTCTTCACCCTGTAAGAAAGTCCATTTCTGACAGCCTAACATAAACACACTAGCAAATAGATGATTTTTTTTCCATCCAGTTAAATGCAATCATGTACACTTGTGACATATTTCGGTGACCATATGGCCTTTTTTTACCAAGATATGTCCTGGGACCTAAAGTGCATCAGGCCAGAATCTTGAAATAGTCAAAAATGTCTGGGATTTGGCTTTGTTTTCAAGGTGACATCTTGTTGCTGTCAGAAAAAAAAACTCCAAAAATGTTAATTTTACAGGAAAATGTAATAAACTGTAAGTTTGATTGAAAGTTAATGGAACCAAATTTTGTTTCAAGTAATTTTGAACCACTTCTGTTGTTCTGATCATCATGAAATTTTAACCTAATATACAAAGGTAAGTGGAGTTTTCAGATAAAGCAAAAAGTAAAAAAAAATGAACATACAAGGTTTTGCCACAACAGCAACAAATATCAACACATGTAACCCCTGATTTTTAGTGCTAACATCAAATTCTGGCACTATCATGCAGTTGGAAGGAACTGAAATAATAGGACAGTGTAATTGGGGGGAGGGGGGATGGCACCAAGCACCCACTTGTTGTGGTTGTAGTTATATATATATACAGGGTGATTCAAAAAGATTCATCCGATTTCAAAGCGCCATATTTTTACAAGCATGAGGTGACTAGGAACCAATCACAATCCAATTGAATGAGGGAGTCATAGAGTTTCTGACTGTCACCAGAAGATGGCTCCCTTCAGTCTGTGAGGAGATGCAACCCCTGAGCAGAAAGCATTTCGTGTTCTCCACTTCAATAAGAGTGAATCCGTCATAACTGTGCAGCGTGATTTTCATTGCCAGTGAACCTCCAACAGCTCAGATCTGTCATTGTTAGTTCCACAACACTGGATGATTTCGAAATCTCACTGAAAGAGACGTGAGTACAGTAACATCCAACATGCTCAATAGAGTACGGGATGAATTCGACTATGGTGTTGATGTTGTCTGTACAGCTGGAGGAGGTTCATATTGAGCACTTATATAATATATAACTTATATATCTTACATAATAAACTTTATGCTCACTTAAACAATTTACAATCTACTGCATTGTTCTGTAATGATTTAAAAGTGAAAAAAATCGTTTTGAAATTAGGTGAATCTTTTTTGAAATCACCCTGTATTTTAATTATATCTCAACATATTCAATATATCTCAATTATCTCTCTGCCAATTACAGTTTATGAGGAATTCTTTTGGTCAGGATCACCTTTAACAACCATCTCGGATGGACAACAGCTGTGGCTACATTTTTTTCATCCATTAAGAAGCATCACCTCATCTTATCAGCAGAGTGAAGAGCCACAACCCGTAGAAGACGATAAGACCAAACAGATATATCACATAAAAGAGAGAAATATGTGCAGCATTGGAAAACATAAAAAGCTCTGCATAAGCCTTTTATTTATCTGAGAGAGAAACAAGCAATATGCATTTTTCTGCAGGTGATAGACAAATAATGGAATCATGGTGGTCTACATATGGATATATCCGTAAGAAGAAATGGGGTTGTTTGTTTTCAGAGCAGCTTCGGTCCTACTTTGATGCCGTTATGCTGATTTTGAAGAAATGCTACCGGGAAATTCAAGTGTTATAAAATAGTAAGAAGTAAAATCACTATCATGCTGATGTGTTGGGAACAGATAATGTTTGGGGGAAAGAAATAAAAAAAGGAGTAAGAAAAAGTAAAAGGCAAACTGTGGATAGTAAGTACTAGGAGACCACTGTGTGCTGGTCTACTCTCATTGTCCACTTTATTGTAAACATCTACTTTGTAAACCTCTTTTATACACCGATCAGGCATAACATTACCACCACTATGATCCTTGTTTCTACACTCATTGTCCATTTTATCAGCTCCACTTACTATATAGGTGCACTTTGTAGTTCTCCAGTTACAGACTGTAGTCCATCTGTTTCTCTGCATACTTTGTTAGCCCCCTTTTACCCTGTTCTTCAGTGGTCAGGACCCCCATGGACCCTCACAGAGCCGGTACTGTTTGGGTGGTGGATCATTCTGAGCACTGCAGTATCACTGACGTGGTGGTGGTGTGTTAGTGTGTGTTGTGCTGGTCTGAGTGGATCAGACACAGCAGTGCTGCTGGAGTTTTTAAACACCTCAGTGTCACTGCTGGACTGAGAATAGTCCACCAACCAAAAATATCCAGCCAAGAGCGTCCTGTGGGCAGCGTCCTGTGACCACAGATGAAGGACTAAAGGATGACCAACACAAACTGGGGAAGTCAATGTACACCACCGTTAGCTTGGTATTTGTCTTTACTTTGCAGTCTCCAAGCTGGGACTGACTTCTTTGGCACTGACAGTATAACATGTTATCAACACTACTTATAATGCATTATATTAACAATTCATAATGTATAATAAACATGGCTATAAAGTGTAATCCAGTGTAATTCATTTTTATAAATGTTTATAATCCTGTTTATAATGCCGTATGAAGGCATTATAACATTATAAATGTGTTTATAGATGCTTACAAACATGACATTCATAGAAAGTGTTACCCATTTCACTTTCAAAACTACAGCAGTGTCTCCTCAGTTCCCAAACGCTTACAGAGTGTTGTTAAAAGAAGAGGTGATGTAACACAGTGGTAAACAGGCCCCCGTCCCAACTTTTTTGGAATGTGTTGTTGGCATCAAATTCAAAATGGGCATATATTTTTCAAAAAACAATAAATTCCTCAGTTTCAACATTTGATATGTTGTCTTTGTAGTATTTTCCTTTAAAACTATGGTTTACTTCATTTGCATATCATTGCACAGTGTCCCAACATTTTTGGAAATGGGGTTGTATTTAATAGATTGTTAAACAGTTTTTGTTTTTTTTTTCTACCATGAGACCACAGTTTGAACTAACGCAGTAGAATGGTCCAAAAGATAGGTGTTTCCTAAGAAACTGACCGCTGAGTTTGAGTGTGAATTTTGCTTTTAATTTCTGAATCTACAAACTGACTTCTTGGCTGCAGTTCAGGCCCAAAAGGCCTGCATATTTACAAGCTGACCTCGGTGAGTGTAATCCTTTACCACGAGCTCAGGTAAGCCCTATGAATATACGAATATATGATCATGCATGCAGTTCATCCACTACTATATAAAGGTAGTCTGGAGTGAAGGTGCCTGTAAGGAGTCAAAGCAGAATGCAATACAAAATGCACAGACTTCAAGGTATTTTTGTTTCTCTCTTATTTGCAAGGCAGGTAGCAAACTAACTAACAAAGGGACTTTGAATTACTCAAATTATTTTTAGATTTCCTTTTGCAGCTGAGAGCTTTTTACCAATGTAATCAAAAGCTTTGCACCTTCTGAGCCTTTTTTGTCTTTATGCATTCTTAATAATATGTTATTTCCTAAAATAAATGCAGATGCCAGAAGCCATTTTTAACATATGAAGTTAAGGCATGTAGGTAAATTCAGAGTCTGTAACAAACGTCTGTTTACATTTGTAGTATATTATTGTGTCTGTTTAAGTGTATTATGTATTATATATTATTATTATTAAGGGTATGTCTATGTAAACCAAAGTAGATGCGTTCATAAATTAACCAATGTGTTCTTTTTAAGAGATGTATGTCCAGTTAAAGGAGAATTCCACCAATTTTTCAAAATATTGGTATAATTCAGTTGAGATGTAAACAATATTACATAGAAAGTTTTGATGTCATGTGGTTTATTTTAGAATAATCAGATTCCTTTACAATAATATATGTATATATCAAATTTATCTACACATTTTCTTATATTTTTTTTATTTGAGATAGTTGTAAATCTGACAAAAATACATTTTTGTTAGGGACTATCCTCACAATACCTTGCGACACCTTTAGTGTGTTTCTCTGCCACAAACATATAAAAAAAAAAAAAACATGTTTTAAGCCAAAAGCTCTTTGTAAAACTATCATAACACAATGTCACACACATCAGCTAGTGTATTAATAACCATTTTACATAATAGCTTTCTGTGAGGCAGCATTTAGAGGCATTAAATTCTTTGGACGTTTGGTTCCTATTACTATCAGTGTGAACAGTTCTTGATGTGAACTTTCTCTAGAATTACACATTTCACATCAAAGTGACTTAGTTTATATTGTATTGGTTTAAAAATGCAGGAATTTTAAAATTTTGGTGGAATTCCCCTTTAAATACAACATATTCTGCCTTAACCCTGATATTCTTTATATCTGTGTATTAGTGGTTCAGGCTTTTCCGTGCTGCGTGCTGCTCTCTCTCCTCTGCTGGACAGTGGCAGTGCCTCTGGACTGCAAGGGATGACTCCGGTTCTCTGTCCCGCTGTGCGACCATCTCTCAGGAGAAGCTGCTGGACCGGGTCATCCAGCATGCAGAGCTCATCTCCCGTGTCTCTGAGGAGTCCTGCACGCTGTTCGTGAGTTTCAGCCCACAAAAGATTTCAACTTTCTCTCTATCTACTGCATCAGTATCACAACATCAGTTCCCACAGGCAGTACGTTTTAATGTGTCACCCGACTCTTAGAAAATAAGTCATTTTGACTCAAAACTTATTTATAATAGAGGTCAGTTGGCAGTTGCTGAATTTGGTGAATACATGTTTTCAATACATGACTATACATGGGAAATAGTTTCTATAAAGCAAAGAAAATCTATAGTACATAGTTCTCTACAAAAGTCATCCATGGTATTGAGCAACTGCAGACCAATTTTAAGGATTGTTGTCAAGACTTATGAAAAAAAAATAAATAAATAATAATAATAATAGACAAAATCAAATAAATAAAATAAAATAAAAGACGAAAAAATAAATCAGTAGAAAAAAATCAAAAAGAAAAAATACAGAATGGATTAAAAATGAAAGTGCATCTAAAAAGATTTAATAAAAAGTATTTACTTTTTTTAAAATTTCAAATTCCTATGTATTTTATCTTGTATTTGAGGAAGAATATACTGAAACCAGGGCATATATACATTTTTTAGTCAAAAGAAAATATGTGTCGAAAAAAGTGCTTAAGTGGACCTAATGTGATCTATGGTTGCAAATCAATAATTTGTTTGACTGGCAAAAATAGAACTAAGTAACTGACTGACTAACTTTAACTTGGTGAGAGCCGAAACAGGCCAAAAATAAACATTTTTGTGCAGATGTCCACTCACAAAATGTGAAATCATTTAGGATATGTTGTACAGGAAAGGTTCCGTCCCCAGCTGAAATGGAGATTTTGATTGGTTGTCTCCAGAAGGAAACCTTGTTTCTCCAAAATGGTAATTTTGCAGGAGAAGGAAAAACCTACTTTACTTTTAATGTAAGTCAGTGGAACCAGACCTTTTTCCAAGTCATTTTGGTCCATTTCTTTTGGACTATTCATCATGAAAGTTACACACAATGTAAAGATCAACAGATATTTTCAAATTATGTCAAAAACTGAAAAACGACAAAAATGGAGATACAAGGTTTTCTTCCGACAACAGCGAATATGTGTGCATATATGTGTGTGTTTATGTCATCACTGTCCAATAAAAACCATGTATCTCTTTATGTTGTATGAAAATTTCATGATGATTGGACCAAAAGAAGAGCTCCAAAATCACTTGGAATTAAGCCTCTTTACATTAACTTACATTGAAAGGTTAGAGTGCTTTTCCCTTCTCCTGTAAACTTACTATTTTGGAGATACTTATTTTTATTTGGACAGCAACAATATACAGGCCTCTTTGCCTGTAATATAACAGCAGAACATAATCTACACGACTAAATGTCATTTAACTAAACAGTACTTTCTCTAAAGATCACAGCTGTGATATTTAAGAAAATAATGCAGTTGCTTTTATTAACAGTCAACTATTCATACAGACAATATTGCACTTCTGTCAAGAATTGTGTTTAATATGTTTTATTGTTGATAATAGCTGCCAATTCAAAATTAGCAAAGCTATGTGCAGCTCTGAATCCACATTTGAAGCGACATTACCGAGATTCATCTTATTTTCTCCTCTGGAAGAGCCTGAATTAATGAGAGGTTAATGTTAATTGGATGGATATAGAGAGCCAGATGTTTCACAGCAACTGAAAGCCGTCTCTCAGACAAAGCTGCTGTGGAAAATGAATTATTTAGCTGAATTCCTCCCTGGCATCTGATGCCATAGAACTCATAATCTCTTGACAAATGGTAATACTTTCATTGTCCTATCTCTAATTAGAAGCAGTTTTTTTTTCTTCTTTTCACACAAGGATACAACAAAGAAAGGGTGAGAACACATGGAAAAAGAGCTGGCATAGATTATCATGCGTTATCATATTATTAGTGCCAATAATTTTATATGTATGCCGACATATATGCTTTGACAAGAATATGTCATCCTCAGTCTTAAATCTTAAAACTAAAGGCAACTTAAGGGTTTTTTGCTTTGCTCTTTCTTAGGTATGTTATTATTATTATTATTATTATTATTATTATTATTATTATGTTAAGTCATTTTTGGGTCTTCAGGCTCCTGAATGGCTGGTTTTGATTCCTCTGACTGTATCCATTCATCTTGTATCTAGTCATCCTCTCCCTACCTTAAACTCTTCCCGGTGTAATGTTCTTTTCCAGTGAGTTGATTCTTCTCAGAATATGTCCAAAGTAAGATCTGGGACTCGAGTGAGTGATGAGGCTCAATTTGTCTGAGTATCTGCTTGTTTGTTTTCTTTGCCATCCAAGAAACTCTCAAAAGTCTTCACCAACACCAAAGTCCCAAGGCACCTGTATTTTCCCAGTCTTTCTTTTTTATTGTCCGGCTTTCACTTCCATAAAGAACTACAGAGAGGATCACAGCCTGGACAGTTCTGCATTTTATTTGTGAGACTAGAGTAGATTTGAAGATCTCTGCAAGCTTATTCATCCTTGTTCTGCTGAGTGTCAATCTGTGAGTGCTAGATCCTCTGTTAATAACTGATCTTCTCCATCAATGAAACAGTTGGCAGTCTTTCTTGCTGTCATAACCTTGGTCTTCTTCATATTGAGCTGAAGTCTGTCCATCATTTCAGTCTGCTCTTTAAGCTTCCTTATCAGGGCCTTCAGGTCTTCTATGTGCATATCGAAGGTTGTTGATGTTTCCTCCACCAATCCTGAATCCTCAGTCATCTTCCTACAGTCTTGTCTCTCTCATTGTTTGTCCTGCATACAGGTTAAAGATGTCTCGTCATAGTAAACAGCTTTGTCCAACTCATTTTCTGATGTGGAACCAGTCTGTTTGTCCTTGTTCTGTCATGTGGTTTGTTGATCAGTGTATAGATTCCTCACTACAATGATGAGATGCTCTGTTATTGATTTATTTCTTTATTGCTGATGCGTATTCTCTGTAGAGGATATGTTAACTCCTTAACAAGCCATCGGCCCACCAGCAGGGCCTAAAGTTCAGTACACACTTCTATAAGCTAAGAATAGCTCCATTAGTTTGCATTGAAGTCCCTGTAGTTACTGAATAATAAAGCTTTGTATGTAATAAACCTGGATTGTTAAGGGGTTGACTTTTTATTTAGAAAATCAACAAAACATGTCTTTTGACTTTTGCATATTTTATTTTTTTAAATATATTATTATTATTATTATTATTATTATTATTACTTTTAAAACAGGGCAGCTGAAAATTAGAGATGTGGCCAGTTTTTGGGGGATTACTAGTAGAAATTAATAATGTAACATATTACAGTTGAATTGCTTGTAATTACCTTACATTTACTGAGTGAGAATTTTCTTACTTGCATAATTATGTCTCTGATGATAAATATATGGACATACAGATAATCTATGCCTATTTTGTATGCAAATTTAGCCGAGCATAACTGGCTAGGTCTTGTTCAAAGGCAGGGATACTGACAACGTCTTTAAAGTAAATGTACTGTTTCTTTCTAAATATGTTACTGTAAGCACTGCAGTGTTTTCCCGTTACTTTACAGATTCGTACATGTTTTGGAGATGAACTCTGATGTAAAGTAACCCTGTTAGAATCTGAGAATTCATTGGTACTGTGCAATGCATCACTATTTTTGAATCCGTACACTGGAAATATAAGTCTGGATGTATAGAGTTCTGCAAGACTACTCACTAACAGCTGCGCCTGTGTGTTTACAGGAAGAGATGTTTGTCCCGTACGCAATGAGAGCCTTCAGAAACCAGGGAGGAAACACCTGCGTCACAAAGGCCTTCACCATCCCAAACTCCAAGAGCGAACTCCAGCAGATATCGGTGAGCAGATGGACATGAGCCGCTTCGCCGTTTTTAATGTTCATTAATTTGTAAAATGAAGCGTGAGCTGTGGCTCGATTCCAGTTCCTGTAAAATGAGCCTGTAGTCGCTTCTCTAACTCCCCTCCACTCAGCTAATCCATGAGGCAGAGATTCTTTTAATGCTTAATGGCCTTGTTATTTTGTTTTATGAATTGATTTAGTTTTAATTTTAGTGATACTGATGATCACTAGCAAAACATTGCTTGCAGTTTGAAAGTGATTATTTGGAATAAAATAAAGATGTTAAATTTAGCCAAAAAAGTTAATAACAGTTAACAGATTTTAATATACTAAATATACTAAATTCATTATATTCACTATAAAACATGCAATATATATGTATATTTTATATATAATGTTTCATTTAGAAAAAAAGTTAGTCAGGAAATACTCAGGAAATACTGATGAATAGAATAGCTCCTTTTACTGTTTTTCAGTGGTCAGGACCCCCACTGGACCACCACAGAGCAGGTACTATTTGGGTGATGGATCATTCTCAGCACTGCAGTAACACTGACGTGGTGGTGGTGTGTTAGTGTGTGTTGCGCTGGTCTGAGTGGATCAGACACAGCAGTGCTGCTGGAGTTTTTAAACACCTCAGTGTCACTGCTGGACTGAGAATAGTCCACCAACCAAAAATATCCAGCCAACAGCGTCCTGTGGGCAGCGTACTGTGACCACTGATGAAGGACTAAAGGATGACCAACACAAACTGTCCAGCAGCAGATGAGCTATCGTCTCTGACTTTACATCTGCAAGGTGGACTGACAAGGTAGGAGTGTCTACTAGAGTGGACAGTGAGTGGACACAGTGTTTAAAAACTCCAGCAGCACTGCTGTGTCTGATCCACTCGCACCAGAGCAAGAAACACTAACACACCACCACCACATCAGTGTTACTGCAGTGCTGAGAATGATCCACCACCCAAATAGTACCTGCTCTGTGAGGGTCCATGGGGGTCCTGACAATTGAACAACAAATTTGGCAAAGAAACAGTCTGTGGAGCTGCAGTAAGTGGAGCTGCTAAAATCTGTATATACATGTGTATTCTGTATATTATTACCTATTACTAGTAGTAGTAGTCTGTTGCAAACTGAAAGTCAATATCTTGATTATAGTGAAACATTTTTTATTTCACATGGTCTCACTGTACTTCTCATAACATCAAGTTGTAGAAAATAACTGAGATAAGATATTTTTCCTAGATTACACCCACCAGCCTGAACCTGTGTGATTCACTGAGGGTCTGAAGTAGTCTAAAGTAAAGCTCTATTAACTGAAATCCATTTTCAAGAACAGCTACCAATCTCCTGAGTGAGCTGTAGCACTCAACAGGGGCCAACAGTCCCCCCATCTCCCAGCTAAATCTCATTTATGCTTGTTGTATGGTTTACATGATTCGGCAGAGTGGTCACTCAGTTTCAACAGAAGCAGTTCTTGAGGGCATTTAGATGCATTTCTTTGCTGGTGCTGTTCGATTTTTTGGAGAAAAAAAAAAGTGCAAGTGGTTCTTTCACCTGACATGAAAAAGCTGCATTAAACCTTGACAAGGCTTACCAACAGTATTCTGTATCACTCAGTAAACTTGCTTTCTTAACCAACGATAGAGACAATACTGAGTTCCATGGCTAAAGAAATAGCATCAGTATGATTAGCACTCTTTCTTTCTTAGTCTGCTTGCTTATTTTGGGCTATTTAACAGGACCTCACCCTTTTCTATAGATTTTTGTTTGGCATCCATTTTAGACCAATGGGTGACCTTTCAGATAAAGAACAAATTGCCCCTGCCACTCAAACCACCTTTCTATTCTGTACAGCCAGACACATCAGATTTCAATATTCATACATCTACTGCTATTTTAACCTTTTATTTCACTCACACTAATGGCTTTGGCTGCCTGAGGTGGACACACTCAGCAGTTCTGAGGTCCAGTCTCCTGTCGTGTTTGCACTCCTACTCAGAAATCATTGGAAAGTCATTGAATACCTGTTATACAAGTTGCACAAACCACTGAGAGATTGAATGTGACCTCTGCAGTGGGCTTTCTTAGAAGAACTAGCCGGCACTATTACGGGATGGACATGTCTCAAAAGGCCGGTCCATGGCTGCTGTAGTCTTACAGGCTCTATACTGCCCTCTGCAGGACAAGTGGCTCCTTCACTCCGTGTTAATGATGGTCCAGTCCTGGATCGAGCCACTGGTTTACCTGCAGACCACTCTGGATCGCTACGATGACGCGCCGGACACTCTCCTCAATCGGACCAAGTGGGTGTCTGATAAACTGGTGAGCCTAGAGCAAGGCGTGGTGGTCCTGATACGCAAGGTATGCTATACACCCACTTAAACCCTTCAATTCCTTGGCTAGTTCTCCATACATACATATATAGCTAAAATCTTACTGCATTGAACTGATTTGCTGTTGCTAGATCTACGTAAGTTTGCTTAAAAATCAAATATACTCAATTTTAGTGCCAGTTGTCAACGAGCTAAGTCATGTTTGGTGTCTGAAGTCTGAAATTTGCCCTGGAGCTTTGAGATTAATGTACAGACGAGTGACAAATTAGTGACATTAGAAGAGTAAAAACATCACAACTGTACAACTGGCAAGTGTTTGAAAGAAACATCTACATCCATGGTAATTATAGTCAAAAGCAGGGTTTGAATTGTGTCAGAGGTCTTGGGTGGGGGTGGGTCCCCAGTGGAAAGTCTGACTAAGAATCTGAGCTACCCTGTTCATTTTCTCTGCTTCTCTGCACACATTTATTTATCCTTTACTGCACTAAATTAAACTCAAAATGAGACCAAACAAAGCCATAGCAGATCACCTGAAATTTACACAAAGAAAGACAGTAACATCTTTTTTTAGATAGACAGACAAGTACTTGTACTGCTTCAGCTAATGTTACAGCTTAGTCTTCTTCACCTCATATCTTTAAGCTATTTTCAAACAGCCAGTTTCTGAAGAGTTAGTTAGCTGATACCAAACATGATATTAAAAGTAGTAAAAAATAAAGTTTGAAATTTCTGTGTGGTTTAGTTCATAGAACTCCATAAAATCACAGTAATGCACAGCCTCAAGTGGCTTATTGTTTTTTATAAAATGGCAGCTAACATATAATATGATAAAAACACACATTTTTTAGAAAATAATTTAAATTATTATTAATAATCATTGACATAAACAGGTATTCTGCCAAGAAATGTAGTTCTTTTAGAGTATGGTATCATTGCCAAGCAACCATGGACCACTGAATGAGAAGAAGAACATTCAGTCGCCCAGTGCTGTATATTGTGGTCATTTCATGAACTTTTTAAATTTTTTCTCATAATACAATGAACATGTGATAACACAGCACTGTTTAATGCAAAAAACCTTCACTTTGTGAGTATATTTTGGTCACCAAATTATCACTGCGAGTCTTATTAGCACCAAGCTGACAGCACCCCTGTTCTTATGCTCAGGCTGAATCTCAAATGCCTCCCTGCTCCCTACATAGTGCACTACATAGGAATTTAAACACAGCAGTGCAAAATATAGCTAAACAAATAGTCATTTGGGACTCAGACACCTCTACACTCAGTAAATGATGCACTATTTGGCTGTAGAGGCCAGAATTTCAAAACTTTCATAGCTCGAACACTATTTAGGGAGTACAGAGCCATTTGGGATTCAGCTTGGGTTTAACGTGACTTCTGGCCGAAACATGCATGTAAGCATGTAAGACATTTGGGTGACAATTTTTAGACCTTTTATACTGCTGTTTTACAGTGAATCATACCGTAAGTGCTTTAATTCAAGTCTGTGGCATTGTTTAGGCTGTAAGCTATCTTTTAGCATTTTAGCTAGCTGACCAGCCTAGTTCTAGTTAAGAACATAAGCTGCCAGCCTGTCAGTTTAAACAGAACTGGATTCTTACTTCATCAATATACTTGGTGGTCCATGTGAGCAACATTAGAGTTAAAGATTATTCATTAACAATGCAAGGGTTTTTCGTGCTGTGGCGCAGTGATAGACAACTCATTTGTTGTGAGTCAGCACATGATGGCTGAATATCAATGATATTTTTAATTATCAACCACTAGCTTGACATTATATGTGCTCTGGAAATGATTACCCTTGTTACTGCATCATAATGTAGTAATGGGCAGCCTGTTATTAAGTAATTGCTGGCCTGATGAGTTAGTTATCAGCTATGAGCTTGATGAGGCATAATCAGAGCATTACATGTACTTTAGAAAAGCTGCTTAATACTGTAGTAATAAATAGGCAATTAATTATGAACTACTGATTTGTAAAGCGTTAATAAGTACATATATGTATTATACTGAAATGTTACCCAGGATTATAGTGAGAAGCCATCATCTTTTCATATTTCAACAAAACATCAGCTCAGGTATGGTTACACTGACATGAAGATGGTTATCCCTGATCTGTGTTGATCCCCAGATGCTCGATGAGGGAATGCTGTCCTCATCTGTGTACGAGCCTGGAGTGTTGCAGTACGATGTTCAGCCTGAGATACTGGAGTCCGTCCTCAGGGACTACACCTTACTCTCCTGCTTCAAGAAGGATGCCCACAAGATGGAAACCTTCTTGAAGCTCCTCAAATGTCGTCAAACAGACAAGCTTGGCTGTGCTCTCTTCTGAATGTGTCTGACCTTGAATAATTAGCACTCATTAGCACTCTGTAGCAGATAGATTACTCTACTTTTTCTCAGTTTTACCTTTTTTTCTTAGCTATACTGTCAGTTCTACTGGCCACTTTGTTGGAAACCCCTCGTAGATCCACCTTGCTGGTGTAGTTAGAGACTGTAGCCCATGTGTTGTTGTACAGTTTGTATTAGCTATCCTCCAGCCCTTCAATTTCTGACCACAGAGCTGCTCTTGGTTAGACATTTTTGGGTGGTGGACCCAATCTACCAGTGCTTACAATCAAAGTATTCTGGTCAATAGTGGTTCTGTGATCAGAAGCTGGTCAATAATGAATAGGTTGGGTGGTTGATGGGCTACGGTCTGCAACTGTACACCTATATAGTGGACATATGAGGAAAGTGGAGCTCATAAAGTGGTCAGTGAGTAGAAATACAAGCTAGGAGTTTCTAAATAAAGTGGCATGAATGGTAATATGGGTAACAACTATAACAAATGCTGGCCATTGACGAAGCTATATTTCCAGTGTGGATTTAAACTCATTATGTGTGATCGCAATTTATAATATATGTTTGCTCCTTTAAAGCAAAGCAGGATATTCGTGGCTTTTTGTAAAAGACCATGGCGAAGAGACTGCGGACAGAGTCCCCCCGGATAGCAATGCATGTTTGCCTTTTCACTGAATCTGCATATTTCACCATTGATTTGACTCCCTCTTTGTTCTTAACCGGAGTTTGTATTCCTCCGGTTCCCTGACTGTTGTTCATTACTTCTCTGGGCCTCTAGTGCATTCGCACAGATCTTTTTTCTTGTTCTTTTTTTTTTCTTTTTCTTTTTTTTTTTTCTCCCGAAGTGGAGCCAGCTTCACCTCGGCATTAGTTAGACAAAGCTTTAGATGCAGACGCATGCTAGCAAAGAGACCCAGAGAGAGAGAGGGAGCTGACTGTGGATAGTGTTTTGTGTGTGTGTGTGTGTGTGTGTGTGTGTGTGTGTGTGTGTGCTGTAGGCTTATGAATTTGGACTGAAGGAAAAAAAAAAAAACTCTACTTTAGTTGATGGAAATTTGCATATCACCAAGTCTTGTAGAAAATGTATCTATCTTTGGCCCCAGAGGTGAGACACTGACTGCTTGTGTTTGTATTGTACTTTATTGTCTGCCATACAAATCTCAATAAATCTACTCTCAGCACCTTCGCTTGCATATTTGCACATATTAAATGTTTTTCTTTGATATCAGACACTAATTCTGTTACAGCAAATAACAAAGCTATATGTGTGACATTACATAAAGGATGCACTGATCATGGATTTTATGGTCAATTGCGATTCCTTTGCAGTCAAATTGGTTGACGGTAACCTTATTTTTTTGACCAGTGCATCAAATTAGGAGGCTAACTGGCTTTTTAGCAAAATAAGACATGTATAATTATGCTACTACTATCTATATTTTGATATAGATATAGCAGCAAGTGGAACTTCCTGACTTACATTATTTGTGCTACTGTACAAAAATCAGAGACGACTCTTCATTTCTCTTATCTCAAAATAGCCTTTGAGTACAAGTTCTTCATTTTTCATGTATTTTGCAAAGAATTACACAATAGCCTCAGCAACTCCATATGCATTTTTGGCAGTATTTACCATGTCCACCCTTTGCCTCCTTTATTGCAACTGCTGTTCCTTTCAACAAGCTTGCTTTCAGTTTTCCAAAGAAATCTGCAGGGATATTTTTTCCACACCTCCAAAGTTCAGTCTTAGAAGTTGGTTGCATGTTCTGCTCCTCATGATCCAAGTAATCTCAAACGTATTTAATGATGTTGAGGTTTGGACACTGGGGAGGTGGCAGGTTCATTGTTTTAAGAACACCAGCAGCTTCTTTGTTTGAATTGCAAAAGTTTTTTTGATTTTCCTCAATAACAGCATTTTTCGGAAGTTCCATTTCCACTATATTAGGCATGTCAAAGTGTTGTGGAGATTAGCATGAACCCACATCTAACACTTTGAATTCAGTTCATGAAATCCTTGCTAATTAGCCGATGAGCTGAATCAGGTGTGTTTAACGAGGCGGTGAAGTCTGCAGTGTTTTGGCTCGCGAGGGCTGGAGGGTGACACATGTGCTCTATATCTTTAAATAGTTTTTCATTTCTTTATTTTATTTTCCTGCAACTTTCATGTTTCTTAGTTTATCTTAAATCTAATCTTATAACTCCTCCGAAATATCTCCTAAAAGGGCATTTTTACTGCAAGTTACATGAATGAAAGGTGGTCTCTGATGTACAGTACTGTATATGGTAAAACTGTGACAAAGATCAGCCAAAATAAACATCGTAAATTGGCTGCAAAAGTCTTCTGATGGTATCTTGAACTGCAATCATGCATCCATGCATTATATGTGAAGTTTCTTACATGTCTATGTGACCACACATATATGCATTCATTAGGCAAATAAGGGGGAATTCCATAGTCTGGCTCAGAGCAAAAGGCACTAACATATTCCAAATACAGTGCTGTGCAAACGTTTTAAGCACCTGAGAAAATTAGAATTAAAAAGCTGTCTATGTGCTCAGTAACTGTTTGTTTGCTCAGAAAAAAAACATCAATATTAGAGTGAATGTAAATACAGTAATACAATGAGTAGAATTTTTATGTACAAACCCGACACCAAACAAAAAAAGTTGGGACAGTAGGTAAAGTAAAACAGAAAGCAGTGATTTAATTTGCTTGGAGCTAACAGTACAAAAACATGTTGTATTACCTTTTTTCAAATTCATTGTTTTTGTAAATATATGCTCATTCTGAAACTGATGCCTGCAACATGTTCCAAAGAGGCGATTTAAGAAGAAAAACAATGTGAAGTATTTAAAAAAACATCTTAAACAAGCGATGCAATCATGCTTGGATGCTTGGAAAAGAGCATCCATGAAAGGCCCAGTACTTTATGAGCAAGGATGTTCAAGGCTCACCACTTTTCCAAAAATGCATCAGCAAAAAGCCAATAATATAAAAAACAGCATTTCTCAACCAGGAATCAAAAGGATGTTAGGTATTTCACCTTCTACAGTGCTTAACATAATCAAAAGATTCAGACAATCAAAAGAAATCTCTGTGCATGAGGGACAAGGCCAAAAGCAACAATGAAATGCCTATAACCTTCGACCTCTCAGATGGATTAAAAACTGCATTCAAAATGATAAATAAAATGTTTCTGTGATTGAGATCACCACATGAGCTCGAGGACACTCTGAAAAAACTTTGTTGATGAACATTGTTCGTTGCTGCATCTACAAATGCAGTCGGGGGCAATCGTGGGCACTCGTTGGCTGGAGGTTAGGGAACCAGTCCTGTGACCGGAAGGTTGCTGGATCGATCCCCAGTCCATTACTAAAGTGCCCTTGACCTAACCCCCAATTGCTCCCCGGGCACCATGGATAGGGCTGCTCACAGCCCCCTAGTGTGTGTGTTCACTAGTGTGCATGTATGTGGTGTTTCACTGCACGGATGGGTTAAATGTGGAGGTCTAATTCCACAGTGTGCAAACACAGTTGACTGATGGTTCTGAATTCAATTCAAATTCAAAGTAAGACAGTACTTTACACCGTGGAAGCCATATGTCAACAACATCCATAAACACTGCTGACATTTTTGAGCCCAAACTGAAATCTAAAATGGACTGACATACAGTGGAAAAGTGCATTGTGGTCTGAAGAGTCCATCTGTCTGTGATTCATAAATCTATTCATGGAAATAATGGATGTCGAGTTCTGCCAAAGAAGAAAAGGACCATCCAGACTGTTACCAGTGTGAAGTGAAAAATCCAGGGTCTCATTACACTGATTTATATTCAAGTTTTTAAGAATGCTTTTCCTTTTCCTATAAACAGGCGTGGATCCATGGGTGGGGTCACAGGGGCACTGTGCCCAGAAGAAATCTGACTAGCGCTTTAAGTGCCCCGCTTCAGTCACTCGGCCAATTACAAGCACATCATAGACAAACTCATCACCTATCATTGAAATCCTGGTCCTGGAGAGCTACCACCTTGCAGAGATTAGCTCTAGCCCTTATCTAACATCCTTGATTCAGATAATATAGGTCTTCAAAGGCATCAGAATACTAGAGCCAGGTGTGTTGAATTTGATTTCTCTAGGATGGTAAATGTCCAGGACTAAAATTGGGCACCTATCTGCAGCAATTACTTTTTTCCTCAGAGTGCACCAAAATGTTTAACTTTCATTTAAAATCTTAAAAATCACCCGAGAACTGAGCATCTAGATCCTGTACAAAGAGGTTGGTTTCTGAACTTCATTGCTTATGATTATGTAATTCACAATTTGGTAGTTGCGAAACTATTAGCCCTTATAATTAGATATTTTACTATGTCTAATGCAGTATGTAAAACTCACAGAATAATACAAATTCATACAAACGTATTTAGAGATATTGTGAGATAATTATGGTGCTCATTGAATTTGAAAGCATTTATTTGGGCCCTAAACACAAACTGGGTTCCCGCTATGGTGGCACCTAAAGATAAGTCCTAGAATCATCACTGCTCATAAAATTTCAATTTCTTTTTTGTCACAACAGTGATAATATTGAAAGTATGGATAATTCCCATGTATGTAGGATAACTGAAGAAACAAATATACTCATATCAGATATAATTTTTCTTACAGTAGCATGTAACAGTTTGTCACCAAAAGAAAATGTACAACATATATTACAAACTGAATAGTTTACTGATCTCCCTATGATGAAATTACACTCAACAAACTCAACATTTAGTCTCTTTTCTAAAGTTTCCTCCCAAACATGAGCGTATGTTTACAGTGAGTGACAAAAGTGACAGAATGACTGTTGAACAGGTCGACTTGCCCTACTTCATGACCTTTTATTGCAGGTTAATTGACAATTGGAAATATTGCTCCAGGGGAAGAAAGCACACCAAACAAGCCAGTTAGAGACATTAATTGCACGGTGGCACACTGGGCGTTTGGCTGCTAACCCACGAGCATGGAAGCACACTGCTCTCTGGCCCTGGAGGTTGTGTATTGCTATGGCAACAGAAGAGTGGCCTGTTATTAAAGAAAACATTACACAGAGGCACAAACGCAATGTGCAAAAGTTCATTCCACATCTCAGAGGCCCTGTAATGTGAGAGATCACATTACAGTTCCCTCTTGTTCATCAAACGTAGTTTTTTTATTATCTACAAGTAAAATATAATAGAGGGTTACTGTACTGTATGGATAAATTCTGTTAGATTTATTGATGCATTAGAGATAATTACATTTAATAGATATATTACATCATTGCACAGCAATTTATTAGATTAACCACTGTAGATACACTGAAGAACTCATCTTTACCTTAACATTATATCCATTCAATTTAATAGTTTAAAAGTAGCTTTAAATACGTTTATTGTGCAGAATAGTAAAATGAATGTAGTTCAGCATTATATCTCTCACTCTCATGGGTTTTCACAAAATTCATTTTATATCATTTTCATATTTTCTTTCATCAGTGTTCTGTCCATACAATATCCATCCTGTATTTCACATATACATCATAAAACCATAAAGAATCCCTGTCGTGTCAACCAATCATAACTATCCCTGTGGTTTCAACCAATCATGACTACTAGTTTAACTACTCATCTACAGGCTAATAAATGTTAGTATTAATCTAATGTTAGTATAACTCTTACCTCTGTTGATTCCAGCTTTGTTCAGCACAAAATACATGCTAGAAATATTTTTGTTTGCTTTTTCAATACATTTTTTTTTTCCTACGTAGAAAATGAGCCAAGCTGGGGGAAGATCTCTAGATAGCCAGGTAGCTACTTTGCTAACTTAGCTGGTTGTCCCATTAATCTGATGAATAATTTCTAATAGCAGTGCATTCTTTCCATTGTAGTGACGACTTCAGCAATTTTACTTCCTTCTGCAGTTGCTAGCTAGCAAACAACCCGACCATCCACTCAAAAGCAGTTGTATTTTTACAAAGGTTCCTCCATCCAAGATGCATCATCAGAAATGATTTTAATACTCTTTAATTTTATAAAATACAAATTTACAATGTAAAAATCGGTTCATCAATTTGACCTTAAATCAGTCAAATAAATAATTAAATCAAAGCATTTATTTAAGTTAAACAACACTAGTTCAATTTGTTAATTCATCATGAACTCATTT